TATTTATTCCATCTTTCTCAGTCTTACACCAACCCCAATATCAGTCTTGTTTTACAATAGTGGCACCTTGCAGTATTTGTCCTTTCATGACTGAGATACTTCACTCAGCATAATGTCCTCCAGGGTCACCCATTTTGAATAATATTGCTTGAGTTCCTTGTTTTTCAATGCAGCATAGTGTTCCATTGTGTGAATATACCACAGCTTCTCTATCCATTCATTTGTTTATGGGCACTTAGGTTGTTTCCAACTCCTTGCTATTGTGAACAAAGCCATGATAAACATGGGTGTGCATATATCTGCTTGGATGTCGGTTATGGTCTTTTTGGGGTATATTCCCAGTGGTGGAATTGCTGGGTCAAATGGTATCTCTAATGGCAACTTTTTGAGAAAGCACCATACTGACTTTCACAGTGGTTGCACCATTTTACACTTCCACCAACAGTGAATAAGGGTTCCAGTCTCTCCACAACCTCGCCAGCATTTGTTACTTGCTGTTCTGTTAAATTTTGCTATTCTTACTGGGATGAGATGGTATCTCATAGTTGTTTTGCACCTTAACTTTTAAACTGACATACTGCTCCTTAAAACCTTGGAAAGGTTCCTGAGATTTTTCTCAATGCAATATATCTCCTGGACTTCTGACTTACTTGGATTATGAATCCAAGTAAGATGAAATCATCAACCATTTCAATTTTCATCCATTTTTGCAATTATTTGCTACACATCAGAGAGCTGGACAATGAATAAAGATGACAGAATAAGAATTGATGCATTTCAGTTGTGGTGCTGGAGAAGAGTGTTGAACATACCATGGACCGCCAAGAAAACAAATAGGTCTGTCTTAGAGAGGGTGAAAGTTTCTTCTTGGAAGCAAGGACTTTGGAGCTCCATCTCACATACTTTGGGCACATGGCCAGCAGGGACCAGTCCTTGGAGAAGGACATTAAGCTGGGAAGGGTGGAGGGACAGCACAGGAGAGGAAGACCCTGGATAAGGTGGACTGATACAGTTACTGGAATAATGCAGGTAAGTGTGTGTTAGAGTCAGTGAGACTGGCCCAGGATAGGGCAGAGTTCAGATCTATTGTACATAGAGTCGCTGTGAGTTGCAGGAGACTCAGTGGCAGATAACAGTCACATTTTGCTGTTGCCTATTGGCCTGGTGGTCAGGATGTTTGTCTTCTTGTTGTTGAGATGTCATCCATATTGAAGGCTGCAGTCTTTGATCTTCTGCAGCAACAAGTGTTTCAAGTCTTCTTTGCTTTCAGCCAGCAAAGTTATGTCATCTGCATAACACAAGGTTTTGATGAGTTTTCTGGGATAATTAAGGCCTGCCATCGTTTTCCTCCTCCTTCCCTCCCTTCATTCTAGCATTACGCTAGGTATCGAATCTGAGGTAAAGAGAGATAGTTTCATCTCTCTAAAACATCTTCTGGCTTGTGGTGAGGAGACAAGTAAATAAGAATACAAATAGTATGTGATGAGTTTGTGACAGAAATTTGCTTAAGTGTGTGTGGCACACACATGAGAAGACACGTTCTGAGAGTGAGTGCAGGGACAGTGGTTAGCCAGGAAGGCCCCTTCGGAGAGGCTCTGTGCTTGAGAAGTTAGCTTGGTGGGGAGAATGGGAACGGGTCATTCAGGCAGTGCGTCTGGGTGAGCCTCTCATCAAGAAAGGGGGCCATGTGTAAGTGATCAGTGCAACTACACCATGAACAGAACAGACAGCCACTAGAGTGTTCAAAAATCACCCAATTCTTTTTACAAAAAATTATTCATTTTAATGAAGTTTACAGAGACTTAGTATTTCCAGTAATTCATTGTTGCACTTTTCTCCCTGCCCACCTCCTTCCGTTCCCCCAACCCCCCATCACTCTTTTCCTTGAAAAGAAAAAGAAAAACTCTCTCACTCTTATGCAATCCTTCCCCTCAAGTTCATTCCACTCTGCTGGAGAAGGAGGGACAATTTCCTCCTGTACCAATTGGATCCGATTTGATGGTATACATACACACACACACACACACACACACACACACACACACACACACACACTAATGTTGTTGTTGTTGTTATGTGCCATTGTGTCTCTTGTGACTCATAGCAACCCTATACAACAGCCCTAAACTCTGCTCTATCCTGTGCCAATCGCACTGTCTCCGATACACCCATCCCGATTACCCCAGTCACTGGATCAATCCACCTCATAGGGGCCCTTCCCCTCCTGCGCTGTCCCTCCACCCTCCCAAGCATGATGTCCCTCTCTCAGGACCTGTCCCTCCTTACAACATGTCCAAAGTATGTCAGATGAAGCCTCAGAATCCTTGTCTATAAGAAGCAGCCCAGTTTAACCCTTTCCAGGGTGAATCTGTTTGTTTTCCTAGCAGTCCATGGTACTCTCAATAATAAAATAAACAAAAATAATCCAATCACCCAATTCTTAAAGTATCTGACATCACCTGGAGAGATAACTCTAGACAATGAGGGTGGGAAATTAGGATGCATTTGGATTGCAAAATAGCCTTGAAGAGTTTGAAAAGGTGAGGGATATCCAAATGCAAGCCTTCTCTTGGTCTGAAATTTTGTAGTCTTAATTTAATTTCAGGATCCGGGAAGTATTAAAAGAAGATGGAAGGAATATACTGAGTATTGTATAGAAAGGAATTGGCAGATACAGAAGAATTCAATGAAATAACATATGAGCAAGAGCCTATGGTGATGAAGGAAGAAGTTCAAGCTGCTTTGAAGGAAATAGCAAAAAATAAGGCCCCAGGAATAGATGG